TGACAAATATAGTTTAAGGCTTCATTCACATGCAATGTCTATTTTATAAATTCTATTTTCTATTCGCGGTATGTCTTATGGTCACGGTCTGTGCCCTGAATATCCCGCGGCGTAATTACTGGCAGCGCGAGCCAGTTACTATAAGTCACTCTAAGTAACTGGCTCGCGCTGCCAGTAATTACGTGGCGGGATATTCAGGGCACAGACCGTGATCATAAGATAGCGCGAATAGAAAATAGATTTTTAGAAAATAGACATTCCATGTGACCGAAGCCTAAATCCCCCCCCCCCCTNTGGTCACGGTCTGTGCCCTGAATATCCCGCGGCGTAATTACTGGCAGCGCGAGCCAGTTACTATAAGTCACTATAAGTAACTGGCTCGCGCTGCCAGTAATTACGTGGCGGGATATTCAGGGCACAGCCTAAATCCCCCCCCCCTTCCGTGTCCAAAAAAGGTTCAGAATTGATAAGTATAGTTTTACGTTCAGAACGAGATCTCAAATCTGACCAAATCTTCTAAGAAAAAAAAAGAAAAGAAAAAAAAAAAACTACTGCTACATGTTCCTACATAAAACAAACATCACAGATCATCAGTGATCAATTTCCATTACAAGGGATATTCTAGTAAAATAGCAAAACTTATATAAATACTAGACATACTCTTATCGCCTTCTGGCACCATCTAACAGAAAAGAGATCACACACACTGCCAACAACATTGCTTTTGCACATAGTGACATAGGATACATCAGAACATAAACCCACACTCCTGATCTTACTGAATCACAACCCCACACTTCCAAATGTAATTACTTTCCACTACAATAATCCAATCTATGTATGACAATATTTACAAGGTTAGCGCACCAATTACTCTACACACAATACTTCCAATCTACAGTACAGCCAATTATCAACTCAGCGCTTCATTGTATAAAAAATGTAGCCACCTAAAGAAGAAAAACATGTTTGCTTGGTCAATTATTCTTCCGTTGGTCTAAAAGATTTTACATTTGTCTGAAGGATTTTACGGACACAAAAGAGGTTGTGCCCTCCAAAACAGCGCTATCAATGTCTGGTCGTAAGAGCTCACACCAGTATCATTGTTATATTGTTACAACGGCATTGTCAACCAGTAGAGCTGATCTTGTTATATTTATAACTGTGAACAGGTGTGCACAGGTATAACCAGGACAGGTCAAAGGTCACAGGACAAAGGTCACTGATGAAAAGAGAGGCTTGAGGGGTCAGCAAGTACTGGGGATATATCATGTCCTCGGCTGATCTGTGGCATAACCACTTCAACTGTGGAGGAACAATGTACATGTACCATCCTCTAAAGACATTTTCTCAGTTAATTTGCTCAAAAGTAAATTTGCCATGAAAAAGAAAGTTGTGAATTTAATTCTTTTTAAGCCTGAAATAAATGTACAATGTAGCAGATGCAGAACATTTGTAATTGTCATGCTTGTGTCATGCCTATCACACACACATACACACATTTTAAGATCGATAAAAAAATACATGCAGTGTTTGCTTTGAAGGACATACGAGTGTGGAAAAAAAAATGAAAACAAAGATTGAATCCGCAATGTACATAATACAAAATTTCTTCAGATCAATCAGCTTGTTGTACCTAAAGGCAACACAATAAAATAGGTGATATAACATATTAAAATATAAAACATTTAATACTGTGCATCAGATCCTTCCTCTTTATTATCATACCACATGACACCACATTATAGCATTATGCCAGGATAAACAAGTTCATTAGTAAAACAAACCCAAAATAACACGCACAGCACATAATATGGGTTATACTGAAAACCAAAAAACACTCCAAAACGTGTGTCTAGGACCCATGACAAAGCAGCTACAAGGTCTAGTAACGCCCTTGATCCAATCACTGAGCAATGCAGGGAAAACACCTGTGCTAACAAGGTACACGTGTGAGATCATTCCTTTGAAGTTTTTCCTTGCTCTACTCTAGATAAGGCAGGTTTGGATTTACCATCTGTATCCTTTCAAATTCCTTATTGGCTTTGGTATGTTCTTTAGCAGGGTGACAGTGTCTGTAAGCTTGGCACAGATTGAAGTGGGAGGTGTAAAAGGGGGAAAGAACGTCACACCACTTTATGTCATTAACTCAAGCCGTGTCTCAGAATAAACTTGCATCTGGTCTCAATTAAATAATGACAAATGTCTGAAAAGGGGACTGGGGGAAGGGTTCTGTATGTGATTCCAGACATAAAAGATTGGGGGTAGGGATTCTATATGTGATTCTATATATAAAATGACCTGGGAGTGGAAGGGTAAGGCAAAGGGGAGGAGGGGTAAGTGACAAGTTACAAAACCAACCGTCAACAAAACCACAAAGCAAACAAGCAGCAAAACAGCAACTAAGTGAGAGCGCAACCAAATTATATTCCTTAAAAAAATTCTGCAAAATCTACATCAGTATCATCTCATTCAAGCAGCTAAAGGCCAATGGAGATTTCAGCATGAGTATGGTATGCACATACATTGTGGTAGCTATTCTATGATCTCCACAGCAGTCTCAACTACCACACTGCAGAGTGCTCAACTAACACAATCCAGTGCTGTAATCACCTGCAGTCTGCCCAGCTGCCAGAGGCGCCCTCTGGTGACAGGCACCATGGGGGGTCTGAAAGGCATCCTGGGAAGGGAAGGCCTATAGTGGAGCAGGCGGGGAGAATGTTTCACAAAGCTTCTATTTCTTGTGAATGGCGATGTTGGCTGAAACATGAAATAATTTTTGAAGAAAAATGATAATTCTGGGTAACTGATTTTAAAAAGCTCCTTTTTAAGGACATGTCCATATCCTGATTTTCTGAAGTACAGGGGTGAAAGGGAAAAATATATGTCATTTTTTAAAACCCTTTTTCCTACAATTCAAGTTTCTTGTAGAGCAGATAGCATGCAACATCTGAAACACAGAATTCACTTTTCAAAGCAAAACATGGACTGTTTTATTCTTTCTTCAAGCTAAAATTCTGGGGAAAAAAAAAAAGGGACAGCATAAGCATACTGGCCACTCTTAGGTCAAGTGGTACTTTGTACTGGTCACTTAACTGAAGTCAAACAGTCAGTAAGCTGGTCAATGCGGTCATTTCTAAACATTCCACCAAGTCAGCCACATACCTGTGAATGTGATATTTTGATTGTTATATCACCCCTAGGGCCTTCTGTCACATTGATTGCCGGTCACCTTAACAGATAACGCACCAAGCATTCAACATTCCTCCTACTCAATTTAATATCACTTTTGTACTCCCACCCTTTGTCGTAATAACTACAATACCACAGAATTAGATGATCCACCTTTTCTCAATCATGTCCACAGACAGGTGTATCAACTTTCAAAACACGGTACCAACCTGTGCTCTACCTTTACTGGTACCACTGGACAACCTAAATACCCATGATAACATCAACAATTGATTTGAAATAGCCACAGGGATGTCCAACTTATAATTGCTTGACCAGTAAAATTATGGTACTATGCAAATAGAAAATAGAAAGGAGGTTCTATAACTCTTGGTTTGGCCACTAACATGAGAATTATAACATTTTGACAGAAAGGAATAGGTAAATAAAAATATCTGATAACCAGAAGACTAGTTACAACCATAGTCTTTCAGCATATAAGCTGGGGGGGGGTCTCCATGCAGGTTTGCTATGTGGACTTTGAAAACCAACTATATAATATCAAAGCCATAACAAAATAATAACACTTATTAACAACTGTGAAGTAGCCACAAAGCTTGAAAGCCAGTCACAAACTTCCTGACCAGACAAAATTACCAGCCAGGGAAAATTATAGTAATAAGTCCATACAAGAAGGTGTCTTGTTTGTGACAGAATAGAATTAACAGCTGGGGTACTTTACTTTGGTAGATACCAGTTTAATTAAAAAAAGCTTAAAAAACAAACAATAAGTATGCCAGTATTTACTGCTGATGGTATGTCTTCATATATGCAGAAATTAGTATTTTGTATTCTGTGTTGCCTTGATAACATGTTATAATTAATGACAAAATGACATCTGGGTATGGCCAATATTAGGACCACAATGATTATTAAAAAATTGACAGTGAATTAAAATGTTGATTGCGTGCTTTCAGCAGTAAATTACAATCATTTGAAGATACATCAGGAAACAATAGATGCATAGAATTTTGTATTTCAAGTGAAAGCCTTAGCTCATACCTCTCCAACAACAACAACAACAAAAAAAAAAAATAATAATTTGAAAGTGAGCAAAAAATCCAATCTACCTGATGACACACACACCAGTGATTCATTCTCCTTCACTCAGAACATTACCAATCACCTATCATGATAACATACAAATCATACACACCATTTTAACAACAGCTGAAAGAGAATGGAGTACTGGAAAAAAATCAATGATACAGAACAACCAATAAATATTTCCACATACGCCATGAACCTTCTATATCAATACAAAACACAAAATATTTATAAGAACATCAGCATAGTCTAAGAAAAGTCAAACACACAATAAAAGATGAAAAGAATGTCAATATATAGCAATGTGTAGTACTACATAGGCACACCAATGATAAACTAAGACAACAGTTATTATTCAAAAACTTCTTGAAATGCAAAACAATGATGAGCACATATATCATTTAAAGAAACAAAATATGCAGAACCCTGCTTGAAAGCATCTTTGAAAGAATCCTAGGGTCGCCTTGCATTTAACTTCACATAGTGTATGATGGCAATAAACTCAGTCAAATGTGAATAAGACACGTACAATTTGAAGCAAATATGTATCAGAAAAAGGTGGCATGGCTAAAGTGAGTTTGGTGGGTGGGTATGTGGAGGTGGGGTTAATGTTATAACAGGTTATTATATTTTGAAAAAGAAATATGTCATATGGATAAAACATCAACACAGTCTCTAGGTACAAGAGAGACAATATGAAGGAAAAATAAATCTGTACTCACCACAAATTCATGATAATCGGGCAGCTCAAAGGACTGCTGGGACATGCTAGTATTTTCATCTAGATAGTAATCCTGCATCTTAGCTGGCACTGGTGGAACAAATCCTCCCTCACTGGAATGAACAAACAGGGAACCAGTCATATATTAAGTTATCAAACAGGGAACCAATCAGAAATTGCCTATCTAAGGCCTGTTTCACCAGTTGAAAGATCGATTACCAGGAAACTGTTTGAAGCACTGTCACCAATTTTTTTCCACAAGATAAATTAGTTGTGGTCTACATAAATAATATACTGCACTTGTTTTGTAACAAGAGAAACATGACTTATCATTCAGACCAGTACCTATAATTATTTACCTTGAACAGAAGTAGACCTAATGTTGGGTCTGAAAATTTAGATTTATTTTGGGACTAAAGCCAATCTGTGAAACCTGCCCACAAAACTCTGCAGATATCCCTCAATGACTACAAACATTTTAGTATTTACTGAGTTTTATCTTCATGTTATTTAACTTCCATCACAGATCCATCCATCTTCTGACAGAAAAAAACAGACACCTGTTAATGTTAACTTAAAAATCTGACAGTCATCCGGAAGACCCAGAATACGGTCTCAATCCGTCCCTGAGAGTAGCAAATGGATGACTGCAAGGTACCACTCGCTTTACAGCTGGCACACTGCCGGTTTAAACGCAGTTAAAATTCTAAACGTGTGAACTCGGCCCGACATCTTGCACAAGTAACTGTGGGAGTATCTATGTCTCAGTATATCACAGCTGTGGAGACATGATCCCAGCTTGTACTGCACATATACATACACCCACTATATACCAGTGGAAAATACAGTAATTAGAACATACTGAATATAGCACAACCCAAGTTATGGTAATTTGGTAGCTGATAACAATATACAAAGAAGTCATTTACCATAACTTAGTAGAATTCAATTTTGTGATAAACTTCTTTTGTATATCTGCCTAGTCCAAAAATCGATCAATCAATCTATAAAAAAATTAATTGCCTTATAATGTTATGTGAAATTGACAATAAATCCTGTTATTTATGTTTTTTTTTTCTTTTTTTACTTACTGAGCCCAATAGTATCCCATAAAGCAAGGTTCTGTATAACCACCAGTCCTATGACAGACATATTAATCAATGGATTGAACTACAAATAACATCAGAGAATACTTGTGGTGAAATCTAGGAAGTGATCACAGATGATTCAATGAAACCCGCCTCATCTTTCTGCCCACACTGACAGTGGACGACCTCTTCACTCAGATGAACTTATTAATTTTGAATAATGAGGATGGAATATATTTTACCGTTGACTAAGTCATTAATTCTTCTTTAAGCTGGAATGACGACTGCCATGTGTTATGTCTACTTGGGTTTATCTTGTTTCTCAATTATTCTTCCCCCTCAGTAATCATTCCTATCTCTATTATTAGATAGTCATTTTTCAGCTATGCTAATGAGTGTCATCTTTCACGTTCACACTATAAAACATTACTCCCTCTATCCCCTCTCTTCTTCCTTCCCCGCACTAGACTCCCCTCACACCCCCTCCTCTCTCTCTCTCTNAAAATAACAAGCACAGCACATAATATGGGTTATACTGAAAACCAAAAAACACTCCAAAACGTGTGTCTAGGACCCATGACAAAGCAGCTACAAGGTCTAGTAACGCCCTTGATCCAATCACTGAGCAATGCAGGGAAAACACCTGTGCTAACAAGGTGCACGTGTGAGATCATTCCTTTGAAGTTTTCCCTTGCTCTACTCTAGATAAGGCAGGTTTGGATTTACCATCTGTATCCTTTCAAATTTCTTATTGGCTTTGGTATGTTCTTTAACAGGGTGACAGTGTCTGTAAGCTTGGCACAGATTGAAGTGGGAGGTGTAAAAGGGGGAAAGAATGTCACACCACTTCATGTCATTAACTCAAGCCGTGTCTCAGAATGAACTTGCATCTGGTCTCAATTAAATAATGACAAATGTCTGAAAAGGGGACTGGGGGGGTTCTGTATGTGATTCCAGACATAAAAGATTGGGGGTAGGGATTCTATATGTGATTCTATATATAAAATGACCTGGGAGTGGAAGGGTAAGGCAAAGGGGAGGAGGGGTAAGTGACAAGTTACAAAACCAACCGTCATTATAAACCACAAAGCAAACAAGCAGCAAAACAGCAACTAAGTGAGAGCGCAACCAAATCATATTCCTTAAAAAAATTCTGCAAAATCTACATCAATATCATCTCATTCAAGCAGCTAAAGGCCAATGGAGATTTCAGCATGAGTATGGTATGTACATACATTGTGGTAGCTATTCTATGATCTCCACAGCAGTCTCAACTACCACACTGCAGAGTGCTCAACTAACACAATCCAGTGCTGTAATCACCTGCAGTCTGCCCAGCTGCCAGAGGCGCCCTCTGGTGACAGGCACCATGGGGGGTCTGAAAGGCATCCTGGGAAGGGAAGGCCTATAGTGGAGCAGGCGGGGAGAATGTTTCACAAAGCTTCTATTTCTTGTGAATGGCGATGTTGGCTGAAACATGAAATAATTTTTGAAGAAAAATGATAATTCTGGGTAACTGATTTTTAAAAGCTCCTTTTTAAGGACATGTCCATATCCTGATTTTCTAAAGTACAGGGGTAAAAGGGAAAATATATGTCATTTTTATACCCTTTTTCCTACTATTCAAGCTATTCAAGTTTCTTGTAGAGCAGATAGCATGCAACATCTGAAACACAGAATTCACTTTTCAAAGCAAAACATGGACTGTTTTATTCTTTCTTCAAGCTAAAATTCTGGTAAAAAAAAAAAAAAAAAAAAAAAAAAAAGCAGAAGTGATAGCATAAGCATATTGGTCACTCTTAGGTCAAGTGGTACTTTGTACTGGTGACTTAACTGAAGTCAAACAGTCAGTAAGCTGGTCAATGCGGTCATTTCTAAACATTCCACCAAGTCAGCCACATACCTGTGAATGTGATATTTTGATTGTTATATCACCCCTAGGGCCTTCTGTCACATTGATTGCCGGTCACCTTAACAGATAATGCACCAAGCATTCAACATTCCTCCTACTCAATTTAATATCACTTTTGTACTCCCACCCTTTGTCGTAATAACTACAATATCACAGAATTAGATGATCCACCTTTTCTCAATCATGTCCACAGACAGGTGTATCAACTTTCAAAACACGGTACCAACCTGTGCTCTACCTTTACTGGTACCACTGGACAACCTAAATACCCATGATAACATCAACAATTTATTTGAAATAGCCACAGGGATGTCCAACTTATAATTCCTTGACCAGTAAAATTATGGTAATATGCAAATAAAAAGGAGATTCTATACTTCTTGATTTGGCCACTCACTCTTGAATTATAACATCTTGACGGAAAGGAATAAGTAACATCATAAAAGTAAATAAAATATCTGATAACAAGAAGACAAGTTACAACCATAGTCTTTCAGCATATAAGCTCAGTTTTTTTATTTTTTTTTTTACCCATGCAAGTGTGTTATGTGGTCTTTAAAGACCAACTCTATAATATCAAAGCCATAACATGATAATAACACTAATTAATGACTGTGAAGTAGCCACAAAGCTTGAAAGCCAGTCTCAAACATCTTGACCAGTCAAAACTACCAGACCGGGAAAATTATAGTAATAAGTCCATACAAGAAGGTGTCTTGTTTGTGACAGAATAGGATTAACAGCTGGGGTACTTTACTTTGGTAGATAACAGTTTAATTAAAAAAGTCCCGAAAAAACATACAATAAGTATGCCAGTATTTACTGTTGATGTTATGTCTACATATCTGGAGTTAATTAGTATTTTGTTCTCTGTGTTGTCTTGGTAACATGTTATAATTTATGACAAAATGACAGCTGGGTGTGGCCAATATTAGGGCCACAATGATTATAGAAAAAAAAACTGACAGCGAAGTAAAATGTTGATTGCATGTTTTCAACAGTTAATTACATTTATTTGAAGATACATCAGGAAACAACCGACGCATAGCATTTTGTATTTCAAGTGAGTCTCTGCTCATACCTCCTTAACAAAAAACTTAATTTGAAAGTGAGCAAAAAATCCATTCAACCTGATGACACACACACCAGTGATTCATTCTCCTTCACTCAGAACATTACCAATCACCTATCATGATAACATACAAATTATACACACCATTTTAACAACAGCTGAAAGAGAACGGGGAACTGGAAAAAAAATCAATGATACGAACAACCAATAAATATTTTCACATATGTCATAAACCTTCTATATCAATACAAAACACAAAATATTTATAAGAACATCAGCATAGTCTAAGAAAAGTCAAATAAACACACAATAAAAGATGAAAAGAATGTCAATATATAACCATGTGTAGTACTACACAGGCACACCAATGATAAACTAACAGTTATTATTCAAAAACTTCTCGAAATGCAAAACAATGATGAGTGCATAAATCATTTAAAGAAACAAATATATACAGAACCCTGCTTGAAAGAATCCTTGAAAGAATCCTAGGGTCGCCTTGCATTTAACTTCACATAGGGTATGATGGCAATAAACTCAGTCAAATGTGAATAAGACACGTATAATTTGAAGCAAATATGTATCAGAAAAAGGTGGCATGGCTAAAGTGAGTTTGGTGGGTGGGTATGTAGAGATGGGGTGAATGTTATAACAGGTTATTATATTTTGAAAAAGAAATATGTCATATGGATAAAGACATCGACACAGTCTCTAGGTACAAGAGAAAAGACAATATGAAGGAAAAATAAATCTGTACTCACCACAAATTCATGATAATCGGGCAGCTCAAAGGACTGCTGGGACATACTAGTATTTTCATCTAGATAGTAATCCTGCATCTTAGCTGGTACTGGTGGAACAAATCCTCCCTCACTGGAATGAACAAACAGGGAACCAGTCATATATTAAGTTATCAAACAGGGAACCAATCAGATATTGCCTGTCTGAGGCCTGTTTCACCAATTGAAAGATCGATTACCAGGAAACTGTTTGAAGCACTGTCACCAATTTTTTTTCCACAAGATAAATTAGTTGTGGTCT